CGCCTTCCTGATGGCAGAGAAAAATTCGTGAGTTGTTCATTGAGGTAGGGCAGGCAGTGCTCTCCAAACTAGCCTTTTATTTTATTACGTGGATCACAGTTAATTTTTATCATCTTTAAAATTTCTGCAAAGTAACACCTGATTGGGAGTTTTGACGGGAACTTGACCGAAGACGGATTGCTACTGCTTTATCGTTTAAATAATGGCTTATAAGTGGATTTGGATACGTAAAAGTGATGCGATTTTGAGTATTGACTGTCTGCGCATGTGAACTGTTAGAGAAAACGGCGAAATAAGTCCTTCGATGTTAATATAAATCTCAAGTTATTTTGATTGCTTAGGCGCCTTATGAACTCGAATGACTGTCGTCTTCGACTGTTCGCTGGGTTGAACTGTCATCAACATCTTTAAAAACCACGCAATGTGACGCATCATCATATTGTAAAGAGAAAAAATCTATAACAACGAAGATCCCGAATGAAATGAGGTCCTTTAAGGACAAGCATCCAAGGCAATAATTTAATATAATAGATTACGCTGTACAATATTATATCTATGTTATAACACTAATTTTTGTATAATTATTTTATTGTCATTATTGTTTTAAAATAGGCTGCTAGTTTACTCGCATAAGTACTTCAATATAATCAAGATTTAATCAGTTAAAGTATTTATAAATATAATATTGACGTTTTCTAGAAGAATAGATAATAATTGATAAAATCACCATTGACTTGATGCAATCACTCTTCAAAGATATCAGGTTACTGATAAAAATTGAAGTGCTGGTTATTTAGAACAATACTTAGACATCATTACGATCATTACCTACGTATTGTTTCTTTTATATAATAAGGGTTGCAAACAAGCATACATTCCACCTGATCGTAAGTGAATGCTGTGGCCCATAGATATTTATATCTACCCTCGAATAATAATAAAAATATAGATATGTGTTGTCACCACTAAGGCCTTTTTACAAGTAAAAGCACCTCTGGTTTTTCAAATTATATACGAGAAACATATAATAATATCTCGTGAAAATGAAAAAAAAAACACTATAAACTTTTTGGTACTAATACTAAGTATTGAAATGCGTACACACATCTAAAAAGTTTTTGATCAGTTAGAAAAATTTAAATCTTTTTTGTTAGAATACCAAACAATAAAACAAATTCTATTTTTTTCCATATAAAAAGAAATTTCCAAGCTTATGCTCATTCAGAAATCTTAGTAAATTTTAACGGATTTAAAATATTTTTTCGAGGAACGTCGCGATTCAAAAAATGCCAAGAGGATTATGAAAAGTTTTACAAGCAAGAATTGTAACTTTGAGGGAAGAAGGATATTCCACGACAGAAATAGCAAGCAGAGTTGCTGTATCCCAATCCTGTGTCGTGGCCACGTTGCAGAGGTTTCACAGCATGGATAATTTTGCAGACCGACCCCGCAGTGGTCGTCCAACTTTTCTGACTGCTGCTCAAAAGCGCTATATTAGATTGCTAACAGCCTGTGACCCGACAGTCAACGCAACTATAATAATAACAGAGGTGCGGGCTACCTCTGGACTTGAAGTTGGCACTCAGAGCATTCGGAATTGCTTACATCAGGCTGGACTACCAGGGCGGAGGTGGTGAGCACCACTGAAATCACGGCAACGTCAGCGACGGAGATTGCAGTGGGCTAAGCTCCGGTAAAAAGGCTCTACTGGGACCGGGCCATCATCACAGGCAGGACTATTCTAGCGAATAAGCCTGATATTGTGCTGATGGACCGGGCACAGTCAAGGATATTTTATACTTCCATTCCGTATGACGAGAACCTCGTTAAAGCCGAAGCAGATATGAAAACAATTGCCGGCGGCATTTTTCTGCTTGGGTTTATATTTATTTAAGTATGTAGTTTTTATTTATTCATTTTACTATATACTACTAGCTTGCCAGGCAGACGTTGTTCTGGCCTTTTCGACGACCCTTTGTCATGTCTTATATTTTTTTAAATTCGCAAAAAAATTGATTGTTGGTCACTCATGGACAAAAAAAACTATCCTATCTCTCAAGTTGAACCAAACTGCACACGGTGTGCAAATTTGACTAAAATCGGTTAAGTAGTTTAGGCGTCCATCGCGGACAAACAACGTGACACGCCTGCGTATATGTGGAAAATATAACGAATTTTCTAAAACCATACCTGGCATTGACATATTTACCGACTCTTATATTGCATTCAAAATTAAACTTACAAATCATTTATCGTCGAGCTCCTGATATAAATTACATTTTCAATATAATGTATATTATACTTAAATTAAAAATGTACATACTCCTGAAGAGAGTATAGCGGGCTACATACGACATGATATCGGTGGCGATCTAGGGTGGAGTAGTGGGGATGCCTCCTATATTGCCTCTAGATCGTGTCGTATGTAGGGCCATCCTAAGTCGTGGCCGATATCGCCTCCTTAATCGGCTGGCAGGAGCAAATATGCAGCCGATGCTTCCTAGATCGGGGCCCCGCCCCCTCCGTACTGCGTGTGTGTAGGCGCATCGGCCCGATTTCTTTTGGCAGTCGCTGCCGGCAGCCCTCGCGGAAGGACGTTAACGAAACAGTGATACTGAATGACCTTTTTTACATAGCAAAATGTTCACATTTTAAACATGTGAACGGAGTAAAAGCCTATGGCACTGATATTTTACAAAAAACAAAAAAAAATTAATTAAAATCTATCGAAATTCAAATCATATCCACCCTAACCTGTGATCCTGCGAAGTTACATGGTCAAGAATGCCTACTATACTATGTTTTATTGCTTTATTGCCGTTCGTAAAGTAGGGTGTATGAAGTAAGTAAGGAGAAGATAAAGCCTCTCCTCAACAACTAACTCCTATTCCAACGCTATCAGGACCGCACTCAGATCTCTTACGTGCCTTCATCCTCTCATCAACAACTAACTCCTACTCCTTCACCATCTCCACATCAACAAACAAGCTATATAGAAGGGAGTATATCCGAAATTAAAGGTTTCTTTATGTTTAAAAAAAGATATAGGTAAGCTATTTTATTTTTTGATAGTTTTAATCCATAAATAAAGATTACCTACATTAAAAAAGTATACATACATTATTATATAAACATATACAACATATAAAAATACAGTAAATTATTATACAAAAGTATTTTATTTCTTTGTTTGTTGTGTGTAGTACATAACCCGATTTTGACCAAAACAGCAATGAACAAAGAGAAGAAATAACTAAATAGCATAGGTAGGAGAAATTGATGATTTTATATAAGTTGCGAAATCATAAATATAGAAAAATTCTAGAAGGTTGTAAAAACTGTCTTCATCCATCCGGAGAAAATTAACCATGTCTTTGGATTACAGACCATTTAGTACGTTTATGTAGCTTAATTTTTGTATCTTTTGGAGCCATTTTTTCACCCAGCAACTCCTCTTTTTCTATTTTCGAATAAATTAAACAAGATGGCTAATTCCAAACCAACACGTTGGTGTTTTAAGAGAGTCGGAGGCATTTTGAAGAACTCTACCGCATATGCGTTCCGCTCCAAGTCCAAACACATACTGCTAGGGTGCTAGGCAGGCCCGTGTGTAGGGTCTGCCTCGATAAAAGCCCCGATTTCTTTCCACCCTAGATCGCCACCGATATCGTCTCGTATGTAGCCCGCTTATAATATCTACCATATTCCCTTTTAATAATTAAACCTGTTTTTTATCTTTAGATTTTTCTTATTTAAGTACATAATTTATCTGAATAGTTCTAATTTGCAATGTATTGATTGGATGATATTTGTACTCTTTGTGATCTTGATTCAATCTGTGAATGCTATTATTGATATAATACTTGTTATTGATATACATATCAGAGAGTATAGAAATGTGTATGTTTTCGTGATTGACATATATGTGTATTGTAAGTGTACTTGTTAAATAAAATAAAATAAATAAATAAATACGTAATTTATATTTATTCAGAAGATTATATTCATGTATATTTATCATTTACTATATATTTATACAATCCAAACAGATGAGTAAACCATATAAATACCCTGTATTAAATCAACATCTTTGTAAGTAATCTTTATCTTTTGTAAAAACGTAGTAAATATACCTACAGTTGTTTTAGTAGTACTTGTGTAAGTTTTGCTATTTTATTAACAAAAAGTAATCATCCGATGTTCTTTGGCTGTAATTTTTTTTCAAATGAATAGCTTTGATTCTGTTTGTGGATTATTTATGTTGATTTCAATAGAATTTTTTTCATCTAGTTGCGAAGATGACATCGCACAAGTGGCCGCCGCCAGCATTGATGACCATACGGACCCTTTTTATGGTATTTTCCATTACTTTTGCCAGAACTTTAGGCGATAGGTCCGCGCATTCGTGTCGAATGTTGTTCTTGAGGGCTTCCAGAGTCTGAGGCTTGTTCACGTAAACACGAGACTTCGAAAACCCCCACAAAAAGAAGTTTAGTACGGTCAAATCGGGCAATCTTGGCGGCCAGTACAAATCGCCAAAACGAGAGATTAGGCGACTTGGAAACGCCTGCTTCAAAATGTCGGTTGTGGCTCGGGCGGTGTGCGCTGTTGCTCGTCCTATTGGAACCACATATCCTCCAGTCCCAGCTCATCCAATTGAGGAAGAAGAAACTCGTTGATCACGGCTCTGTAGCGGTCGCCGTTCACGGTAACCGTTTGGCCCGCGGCATCTTCAAAAAAATGGCCTGTTGATTCCTCCAGCGTAAACAGCGCACCATGTCGTAACCTTGAGCGGATGTAATGGCTCTTCGTGGATCACATACGGATTCTTGGTGCGCCAGAAGCAATAATTTTGGTAACTTACGTAGCCGCTTAGGTGGAAATGAGCCTCATCGCTTATGATGAGTTTCGATCTTCTTGGTCGAGATTCAGGATGGCTTGAGGATAGATTACGCGCGTTTGGCGGTCAATAGCTAACAGCTGATGTACTTTCTGTGTTTTTAAGGGAACATCTTCAGGTATTTCACCAAAATTTGTCGTAGGGACCGCGTGCTAAGGCCCAATTTCGTGGCACGTCTTTGGGTCGATGTTCCGGGGTCCATTTCAACATCGTCGGCTACCACGGCGATATTCTCAGCAGAACGGCTATTCCTAGACCGGCCACGCCGAGAAGCATCTCGTGTTGTCCCAGTTTCCTCAAGGCGGGCGACCAAACGCAGCAGTGTTTGTCCATTTGGTGTCGGACGGCCGGGAAATCTGCGACGAAATTCACACTGTGCCAGCACCACAGACGAAGAGTATAGCGATTCATGGCTTGTCGACATGTATTTTACATCTGTTTACTTCAAATATGTCAAAACCGATTTGACATTTGACGCCATTTGCAAAAATTATAGCGTTCTCCAATAGGGTTATCACTTTTGCCACAACCTATTATATAGAATGCAAATTAAATTTAAATCATGAGTGCACTAAACAATAGAACTCTTGAAACAATAAAATAACCTAAATGATATTAATTTTTTTTTCAATAGTCATAATAAATGAAATAGCATACACATTGCCAAATTAAATAATTACTGACTCCGTGGATTTCATGGCGTTAAGAGTGTGTATATGACTTTTTATTAACACTACTTTTGTTTTTGACCATATATACATTTGATTTTACACGTGGTAGAGCCACGCTTCAGCTATATTATGGTTGCAGCACGAATGGGTCGGTTCGACCGGGGATGAACCACACCCTCACAGAATACCAGGGTAAAATAGCAGCTTAAGTGTAGAGAACCGGAGATCCTTTTTACTGGAAACTATGCATTCCATCTTAGTCCTCAGGGTTGACAACTGACAACGCATTTGTGTTTTGATTCTTCGAGGATGAACGTACATATCTATGGGCCACAGCATCCACTTACCATCAGGTGGACTGTGTGCTCGTTTGTCACCCTATACTATAAAAAAGAAAACATTAAATTCATAAAAAAAGCGTGACAACGCGTGCAATTCGTATTAACAAACGACAGATAATGGAAAGCAAGATAAAGCACTCAAACTGTGGTTTAAACCTGTGGCTATAAAACTAATCTTACACGATTTGATCTTTTGATTTTGGCGCCGATTACAGCGGTTCATACTGGTTACCATTTATCGCGATTTTTTTAAAAATAAAATAAGGTTGATAAAAAGCACACAGTCCACCTGATTTATTTATTTATTTATTTGTATGGATCTCCAACAGTTGCATATTAAATTACTGCTAACACATGCTTTACATCTATAAATTACTATGTACTACCAATTATAGGAGAACACATCATTCTAAAACAATAACAGCGTTTTATAATTTGCCTATTTTAATGGTAGTTGGAACAAAAATTATAAGTTTTACGAACAAAGGATAGTTAAGTTTTGTAACATAAATAAAAGTTAAGTTTAGCATAAAGTTAGTGAATAATTAATTTTCAAACAGTCGTTACATTTTTTCATAGCCCGTCACAACCAGTGTCCAGTGTTGCTATGTTTTTTACACATAAATTGTATACGACCTCACAGAATACCAGGGTAAAATAGGTAAAAAAGGTATAGGGTGATGGTAAGTGGATGCTGTGGCCCCTAGACATCTACATCTATCCTCGATTAAGAATCAAAATGCAGATGCGTTGTCATCCCTGAGGACTAAACTGAAACTCTGGTTCTCCACGCCCTGCATACGAAACATAACTGATTTACCGATAGCAGATGATTTATACCGCTTTCTTGAAGAGCTGAAAGGTCTGTTTTATAGGAGTTGGTAGCACTCGCTAGAGCTACACTGTAGCTCGATTGGGTCAACTCAACCTTTGCGGGATGCGTTTGTTGAATTTGAGACAACCAAACCGTCGACAGGCGCATCGGTTTTGGATGGTATTGATAAATCGAAGTGTTATCAACTGTATTAAAGTTACAGCCTATATATGTCCCACTGCTGGGCACAGGCCTCAGTTCATTTCTGAGTGGGTTTTAGGGCAAGGAATTGTCCGCCGCGCTGCCCCAATGCGTGTTGGCGAACTTCACATGTCTTCGAAATATTTTTTTTCCTTATTTCTCTGACATGTAGGTTTCCTCACGATGTTTTACTTTACCGCCGAGTAAATCAACTGTATTAATGTCGTAAAAACGCCGAGACGTGCATCAAATTCAGATATTATCATGTCACCGAACCATTTTTTACGTAATAAAGCAACGCTGCAGCTTTATTATGGTTGTAGCACGAATGGTCTGGATGTTTGTCCTTGCAATTTGTCCATGTAGGCTGCTACTGGTGACGATTTAAAAAAAGGACAGAAATGTGTCGGCTCGTCTGGAGTAGGACCACACTCTCACAGAATGCCAGCGTGAAATAGCAGCTTAATGCTGACGTGTTTCGTATGGTGAGTGTAGAGAAGCGGAGGCTCCTTTTACCGGAACGAGGCATTCCATCTTAGTCTTCACGGGTGACAACGCAGCTGCATTTTAATTTTTTATTGAATACCTATAAATGTAGATTACGGCCACAGCATTCACTACAATCAGTTGGTCTGTGTGCTCATTTGTTACACTTATTCTATTAAAAAATATTTAATTTTTAATCTAACGTATATTTACCTTAAAATAGGTATCTGTTGTTTTGGAAATAGAAATATATAAATATATAAAAAGACATAAAAGCACTAAAAGCATAAGTCTATCGTTCCAATCCAGTTTAATAGAAATCGAGTTTGATATTCCGGTGACCTTGACAGCGACATTAACGGAACTTGATAAGGATATTACCTAATCGGCCATTTTGTTATCGACGCCATATTGACTTTAAATAACAGTAACCTGATTTTTTTTAATTTCCAATATAAAGATGTTTTATGCCGGTGACATAATACTCTTAATGTTTTTGGCTACAGCGACCATTTTTGGCGCAGTCATATTCACGTAAATTTTTTTAATAGGATGAAATGAAATAAGATACGTGGTAGAGCCTGTCATAAAGCGCCAATTAAAAACAAAAGAACCTAACCTAACAACAACGAAACAACAAAAAAACGAATAATTTATTTAAAATTTTAAAAGATATTTACAGTTTTTTATATAAAAAAAATATGAAGATGATGATGGGTGACGTGAATTACAATTATTTTTTAAATAACAAAGATAAATGAGTATTGAAACGGAGCCCGAAGACCAAGGTGGCACACCGCGCTTGGCAGTGGTGCTCACCGCTCACGGAGTATGCACAGGCTATGCCTGTGGTAGGTGCGCAGCGCCTGATCTAGGCACACGCAGCGTCTGGAATAGGCACACGCAGTGCTTGAAGCAAGCACGCACAGCGGCTAAAGATAGCGCGGGCACTAGTAGGTGGAGGCGTAGGCGTGGCTAGACGACGACTTCAGATGAAAGTAGAGGCTTGCAGGATAAGGCCTCTAGGAGATGCTTCTCGTTTGAAAGCTGAAGCGAGACTCCTTTATTGGCCGATTGTTCGGCTTTTATAATTTTTTTAGAGAGCTCCGCGCTCGACGACGGATCTGAGATAAGAACGGGAAATTATTTAAATTAAAAGCAAATTTTTGTAAATGGCCAAGAAGAAAAGAGTATTTTTGTGGAAGTTTTGAAGTAAAAACATCAGACCGGTAACGAATTTGAATAAAAATTGCCATGACAACCAGATAAAGAACCATGTCAAAACATGTCAAATTTTGGTTTCAGGCTGGTAATAGAGAAACGGCAAGATTTAAGTGAAAAATGAGATATTATTGATATAGGAAAAAAGGTAGCGCAACAGCGCGCACGAAGCCCGAAATTGCAGAGTTACGGAGAACTAAATAAAAGATCGAAAAAGGTAGACTCCATTGACACCGATTTAAAAAGTGCTGATAGCGTGAAAATGATTTGTTATTGTGTTCTTATGGTTTAAAAAAGTTACAGGATCTTATGGAAATAAAGGTGATGCAAAATATCCAGTTTTGAGGTGAATGCAGAAAATCAAAAACAGAATGGAAAAATAAATTTAAAATAGTGTAAAATGATATGTAAGTAGCATAACACTACAAGCCATGCTGCAGTTATATTAGTGGTACAGTTGTAGCACGAATGGGTCGGCTTGACCGAGGAAGGACCATGCTCTCACAGAATAACAGCGTAAAAAGATTAATGCTGCTGTGTTTCGTATGGTGAGTGTAGACTGTAGAGAACCGGAGACCCTTTTTACTGGAAACGTGGCATTCCACCTTAGCAGAGTTCCCCAAACTTTTTTGTGTCGTAGACCCCTTGCCACGTTTTTCCGTGTTGGGTAGACCCCCTACTTACCTGATATTGATTTCCTGTAAATTTCTATATCAAGTTTACTTAAAGTAAAATCATCATAATTACATTTATCAATTGAATTTAAATTAAAACTACTCAAAATAAAATTTTGTATCTGTTATGTAAAATATACTTTAAATAAATATAAAATAAACTATAAATCTTTTATAAATAATGTATATGTTTTGATATTATAAGATAGTATGATGTAAGCATATAGGTATTATCAGTGTCTGTGTTGAGATCCACTATCGTGGACACCCGTTTTCATTTCATGGGCCCCCAAATTTTTTTTCGCTGACGTAGACCCCTTGCATGTTGTCATAGACCCCTAGGGGTCGATATAGACCACTTTGGGAATCACTGGTCTAGAGGATAGATGTAGATGTCTATGGGCCGCAGCAACCACTTACCATCAGGTGGACTGTGTGCTTGCTTGTCATCTTATCCTATAAAAAAGAGCATACAGTCTGATGGTAAGTGAATGCTGTGATCCATAGATGCTTACATATATCTGTGCTTGTTAGGAATCAAAATGCAGATGTGTTGTCACCCCTGAGGACTAAGATGCAATGCTTGTAGTAGGAAACGTGATAAGTCATGCGGCATATGCTTATGATTGTTGCAGTACAAATGGGTCGGCTCCACCGGGGAAGGACCACGCCCTCAAGGAATAACAGCGTATAATACCTGCATAATTCAGGTGCGTTTCAGTTTCAGTGTAAAGAACCGAAGGCTCCTTATTACCGATTATAAAAAATTTGCTGAAGCCGGCAGACGTGGTCCTGCCAGTTAATATCATAGGTTGTGTTCAGCAACATTTGTTTATTTTAGCGCATGCAATTTATTTTATTAATTGTTGCGCTTCATTGAAAAAAAAAACGAATAAAATCAAAACATTTTAATTTTTTTTTCATTTTTTTAGTTTATGAATATAAATCTTCCCATTGAAAAATACATACATATACCAATTTTCATGGTAATCGATCAAATAGATTTTGATAGCGAT